AACAGCTTGCAATACAGTACTTACATTTTGTGAACTGAAAAAGTTTTTCATTGCAATGATTTATAATTAAAAGTATAAAGTCAGCATTATACACTTTGTATTAAGTGCTGTAACTGAAATCAATACATTTGACAACGTATTATTACTGCTTTGGATTATTACCAAACAGAACGCATCATTAGCATGAATGCATGTCCTCTGAAAAGGTGACTGAAGTATGAAGGGACATATGAATCTTTAGCATATCTCATGTAAATACTGCTTAGCATTTGATAATGATCCAAAGCATTTGATAATGTAGACAAATATTTGAATAAATAGTATTCTATTATTATTTAACAGCACAATTAATCATGCTTAATTTTTCTGCTCATGTGATTAATCCTGATTAATTTATAATTGCTTGGTAGCCCTAATTTTAATTAATATATAAAAAAGTTAAATATATGGAACCTTTCAGAAAAGTACAGACCTCATGCATTCTTCATGGTCAACCTCATATTTTTAATGTTCAGCTTTAATAATCATGCTAGCTGCAGGTCTGATTCTGCAAACAAGCTCAAGAATAACATTCACACAAATAGTTCCACTGATTTTAAAGAGTACTTATATAAAAAGTGGTCACTGAATACTGAGGAGAGGCCTGTTGGGAAGCATGGGAGGGTGGGGCAAGAAGACAGAGTCAGGTAGCTACAAGAAAGGAAGAAAGCGGGGATTTATCAGTTTGCTTCAATAGAAGGACCATACTGCTTACAAGTGACTTTATAAAGTTAAATACTGTTCCACAGCTGGAGAAATATTTTATTTATTTATGTTCCAGGGGAAAGATATGCACAGAAATGCCTGTACTTTTATAGTGGCAATATTTGATTTACTTTTATTTTTCCTATTCCATTCCTGTTACCCAAGAGATATAGCCCCAGCCTACACTTGTACAAAGCCGTTTTCAGATGTATATAGATCAATGTTTAAACACTTAAAATATAAACTGACCTGTTGCTGACCCCTAACTCTGCTGCTGCAGTTGCTGAACTGAGCCAGGATGTAGAAGGAGACTGAAGAGTGGGTTCAGAAATAGTGTGGAACAGGTGCCTGGGAGGGTCACAGAGGCAGAGACTAGGTATAGGAGAGAGTTAGGGACCATCAAAGGATAACACAGCTGTGCTCCCCAGTCTCAGAACATAGGAGGCTTTGGGTAAGAATATGTACAGGAGCCTGGGGAGGTATGAAAGGTGAGAGAGGAGGTAAAGGGGATGATGAGGCAGAGACCGTCTCTTCCCCATACCTTATTATCTCACCCAGGTATAACTCTTCCTCTTCACCCAAAAGAAGCCCAATGTAAAGGGTCTCAGAAGTTTTGTTGGAGCATGACTTCCTAGAAGTTACATCTATAAATGGACAGTTAATAGTTCCAGCCAGTTCATCACTGCCATACAATCCTTCAGTCTTATTAAATTTTATAATACAGTAGCTCCTTGAGGGACCATCAGGAATAAGGATGCTAAATATTGACTAACTGACCAACCGAATAGTCGATAGGACGTCTTCACCTTGAAGTGTAGCAACAGCCTTAGGACTCCCCAGCTGATTCTGGGATCCATGTGGCACTGCTGCAAGAAGCCTGATGCCGGGCTCCCTATGGCATTTCAAAGCAGCAGCGCCGCATGGAGCCTGGGATCAGCTGGGGACATCCCTGCACCCCAGGCTCCATGCAGCGCTGCCACTTTGAAATGCCGCGAGAAGCCTGATGCCAGGCTCCCCGTGGCATTTCAAAGTGGCAGCGCTGCATGGAGCCTGGGGGGGTCTGTCCCTGGCTTCAAGAGGCACTGCTGATTTCAAGTACCTCCTCTTCTTCTTCCCCTCCCCACTGCTTCTTTCTGATAGAGGCAGCAAGGGGAGGAAGTGACTAGTCAACTAGTCTTTCGCATCCCTAATCAGGAACAGGCTCTGCTGGCTAGGTGCTGTACAAACACAAGCCAGCATGATTCCTAACCAACTCAGGATCACGATCAAATATTAACTGTCTACTTGACTTTTTCTGTAGGTTTACACACATATTTAGGTTTACACATTTAAATACTAGCAAATGCTAGTTTTTGTAGCAAATAGTGTAGTATATGTTATAGTGGATTAGAAACAGAAATATCTTGAGAGGTGACATTTTATAATTAAGGAGGATTTAAAAACCTAAGTTTATAAGTACCACCTTCCTTAAACCTATGTGTATTTAGCTCCAAAGAACTTGTGGAGATTGGGCAATATTTGTGGGTGGAGGAAAGGAGGAAGAGGAACACATAGGTGAAGTCAAGGGGGATAGCTCAGTGGTTTGAGCATTAGCCTGCTAAACCCAGGGTTGAGAGTTCAAGCCTTAAGGGGACCATTTAGGGATCTGGGGCAAATCTGTCAGGGATGGTACTTGGTCCTGCTGTGAAGGTGAGGGCCTGGACTTGATGACGTCTCAAGGTCCCTTCCAGCTCTGTGAGATATACCTATCTCCATAAGTCTGATCTGTTAATACTGGAAGTAGGTGCAAATTGAGGAAAGAAGTGGAAAACTGGCACAAGGCAGAGGTGAGGTTGTGATACATTGTCAGTAGCATACAAGGCCTGTGTTCATGCCAAGGTGAGCCTGTGGGTGGAGGAAGCATAAATATTTACTATGTATAACCTTATTTCCTTACTTTTTTAGGTTTTGTACTATGTTTTTACATAGTGTCTGTCCATCTGTCCATTCAAGAGCTCCTTCTAAACAGTAAGAGCTAGGACCATCAAATTTGGTACACAGCTTCCTCGTATCATAACTTAAAGCAAGGTAAGGGTTTGGTTATGCCAGGACAATGGGTTGTGTCTGGAATGCAATTGTTTCTCATAATACAGAAAGGAAGAGTTTTGCTAACAAGGATGGTTACACTGTATAATGACCAGAGAGAGGCAGCAAGGGGTCAGAGACAGGGATTGGGATAACTGTAACCTGATTGGGACAGCAAGGGTGTAGAAGGGAGCAGCTCTCTACTACATATTTCAGAGAGTTTCTGTCTGTCTGTCTATTCCCCAACTGGGGAACATACACTCCTTCCCTGGTGTGTACACTGTACCTACAACAGCCATTGACAGGTGCGTCTCAACTGCATCTCAGAGCAATGACTTAAATGAATAATAATAAAAATGATTTCATTTAAGGACCCGAGCAACACCAGGTAAATCCCTCTAGGACAGTGGTTCCCAGCCTGTGGTCCACTGACCCCTGGTGAACCACAACAGTACTGCATGGAGAGGGGGTCAATAGAAAGTTTAAAAACAAGGATCGAGCCCACCACAGTGGGCCCAATCCTTACTTTTCTCTTCCTCTTTTTTCCCTCCCCCAGGGAGGGGGAATCTGTGAAATTTTAATAGATTGAAAAGGGGTTTGTATGCTCAAAAAGTTTGGGAACTACTGCTCTGGTATTATATAGAGCGCAAACTTAAATGACCTACAATGTAATGTCTGTTCATATTAATATATACACAGTCTCAGTTTTGCTATTTGATCTGAATGCAAGAGCTGGTCCAATGACAATTCCTCTGATATACCGCTTTGTACATGACCCACTCTATCATCATTGGTTAAAATGAAATAACTTTCTATATACATACATACACACACACGTACAGAAAAAAAACTTCCACATAATTATCCATCTCCACACAACATCCTATTATAAGTTAATGTGGGTTTTAATATGCTAATTGAAGGGATGGCAATGTTATTCTTTATACCAGTGATCTTCAACCTTCTTACGCCTAAGATCACTTATGTCAGAACAATACAAGATTTACCACCCCATCCTTCCCCCAAGACCCGACCCATTCCTTGAAACCCCGCCCTCTCTGTTCTCCTCTTCTCCATCACTTGTTATCTCCAGCTCTAATACAAACTCAGGGCATGGCTACACTGCCGCTTTTTTTTTTTCTTTCCAATTCTTCTCTCTTACTGCATATATCTGCTGTGATTTTTAGAGGTGCTGAGACTGTCTAGGTGTCATCTACCTCAAATAGAGTCCTAAATGTTCAGCAGTTGTGAACGTCAGGTCCTTTTTATGGGCTGTGAATAGTTTTAATTGAATTTTGTTTTGTTTTGTTAACATCTACATTTGGGAAGAAAATAAAGTTTCTTTAATTTGTAGTTAAGTTGGTTTAATTTTTAGATATATTTAGATAACAAGTTTATCACTAAAGCCTCCATTACAAACTATTCTAATCTTATCTCCTGGCATAGTAAATGGAATTTAACTAAATTAAATTGACAGCGTGTTTCCACTTTGAGCACAACAAGGAAGAGAACACTTACCCCAGTCTGATTCTAAATCTAGACTGAACAAGTTTTGTATTTCCACTCCAGTTTTTACTCTCACAATCCTTTCTCCCCACCTGGCCCAACTCCCAGAGAATGAAAAAGGTCTGTGGCTCTCGCTCAGTAGACAATCCCAACAGCTGAACCAAAACAGGGTGCAGCAATGGAGAGATGTATGCAGAAGAGAGTCCGTGCAGAATCACTGCTAGCTAATGGAAAATCCCTTTTTGTATCAAGTGTCAAGGCTCTTGAAGCAACTCAGAATGGAAACAAGTACACTGGATTAATTGTAGCTTTCAGTAAAGATTACTCCATACTATGAGTGAGAGAATAATGGGATCAAACACGTTAGTGTTAAAATACACGTTCAGAGTGCTCCCTAACATGTGTCTCGTGACTGACAAATAAAAATATACCCTTCCCAATAGGACACAGAAATGTGTCATAGTGTAATAGGCTAAAGTACTGTAAATACAACCTGAATTACAAGCTTCTTCAAAACCCATTTCTCACCAAAAAAAAATATCCCAGATTTAGATAGTCAAGCAGCCATTCATTATTTCATTTGATTGGGATTTCTAATTTTCTATTCTGGATATGAAAATAATCTACCCAAATAGTGTACTTGAGATACAATTTACAATGATCATATATTTTAAACAAGAACTTACCACAGTAGGGTTACCACTGCTTATCAACTGGCTGACTTCATGGAAAATGCTCTTGCAGTCAATCGATTTGTCTAATGATCCTCGTTTCACTATTACTGCTACTGCTAATAGAATCTGCTCTCGAACATACTTTTGAAGGCTGTAAACATAAAACAAATATTAATTTCTCACCATTAAGATGAATAGCACAAGGCTTTTGTAAAACAGAATATTCAATCTGGGTTTTTTTCCCTCAAGTACAAAATAAAAGCTTAAATGAAAATTGACAATTCCACATTTTTTAACCACCCATTTAGACATTAAAGAATCACTACTATTTAAATATCTCTATCTGTTAGCCTAGGATTAAACAAAGGCACATCATGGTTTATGCACATATTTTTGGAAGTACTTCCATCTGTACTTACTTAGGCCTTTGTAAGATATAGGTTAAAAGGAATGTTCTCAGTGACTCAATGCTACTTTTTTCCAAGAGAATCCATTCTCGCACAACTGCTTCCATTATTGCTGTGGCAGCTTGAAAAAGGACATAGTCCACTTTACTAGTTTCTGTTAAGACCAAAGACATTATTCAATTATCACATGATATTTTCATTGCACATGCTGGTTAAAATGAAAAAGTATTTTTTCAGTCCAAAAATAAAGTCAGCCGTAGTTTTGTTAACTGATTTTTGCTATATCAGGGGTTAATTCCTTTCACTTGTGATAAAGAGATAAAATTACCAGAATCTTATGACCACATATTTTTCTGAATGACATAAGAAGTTTTAAAGAGATGCGAACTGAGATGAGAAGCCTAAGGAGTGGAGACTAACTAGCTAGGCAAAGAAAATGGCTATTAGCCAGGATGGGCAGGAGTGGTCTTCCTAGTCTCTGATTGTCATAAACTGAAAATATGCAATGAGATGGATCACTTGACTATTACCAGTTCTGTTCATTCCCTCTGGGGCATCTGGGCATTGGCCACTGTCAGAAGACAGGATACTAAGCTAGATGGACCTTTGGTCTGACCCAGTATGACTGTTCCTATGTTCTAAAATGGGTTTGGCATGAGGAATCAGGGGAAGAGGAAAAAAGACAAGACTAGTCACTGAAAAAGGCAGGAGTCCGGAGAAAAAATACAGCAAGCATCCATATAATTAAAAATTATATCATAATGCCTATGCACATGGAATAGGAATTAATGCTGCATAATAAGCCTTAATTCTTGCATCGTTTAACTTTTGAATGCTTGATTTTACTACCTTAATGTAGAATTTGGGTGTGAAATATATATAAGTAACATTGTTTTTTAGGATTTTATATTCAATGTTTATAAGGCATCCTCTTTATCAAATCTATTCAGATGTTTGCAAACAACTTTTAAAAAAAGATTTGAAAAAAATCAACTCCTGACTTATAAATTTCTTTTTTTTCTAATTTAGGGGGGGAGCAGAGTGGGAAAAAAAACATAAAAGGAATAGTATGCAAAGAAATGTCTACGGAGAGGAAAGGGCAGAAGCAGTCAAAGAAAGAGGATAAAGAGCCGTGCTGGGCAGAGCAAGAATTGTTGTATGACACTAAGTGTCCCCTGTACTCTCACACTACAAACTACTGTAATAGTCTGTACAAAATATGTCTAGTGCGGTGTCATCTGAAAACTAGTAACTCACTGACATTAATATTCTTGCAAGATGTATGCATGCATGCGTTTATTAACAATTATGAATAGAATTACCATATTTTCCGGCATATAAGGCTACTGGGCGTATAAGACAACCCCCAAATTTTTTAGTTAAAAGATAGGTTTTTGTCTTATACCCCAGCGCCCCTCTGCCTCCCCGGCTTTGCTCCTGGTGTCCCTGGTCTGCTGGAGACGGTCCCCAGCAGACCAGAGGCACCGGGAGCAAAGCTGCAGCAGCGGCGGGGTCCCGCGCCTCTGTCAGTCAGTTTCTTTGCCTTCTGTTACTTGAAAGAAGCTTTTCCCAATTGCAATTGTATGCAGCCACAATAATTCAGCAGTGGCTTATTTCCTTCTTTAATACAAGAAACACGCAGGTTTCTCTTTTAATTCAATTTACCGTATTTTCCGGTGTATAAGATGACTTTTGATGTTAAAAAACATCCCCCCAAAATCGGGGGTCGTCTTATACGCTGGGTATGCGGCTTTGCAAAGCCTCGGGGGAAGCCGGCGGCGGGGCATCCCAGGTGCGCCGCCTGTATACCCGGCGTATAAGACGACCCCCGATTTTTGGTACTGGAATACAGTACTGGAATTACAACTAGGATGTGTGTATAAATCAAATATATTGGGGGACTTTAACAGGCCCATCTTAAAGGAATCTGTGTTTACCTCAGTTCACATATAAACTGTAACAGACACATCAAGCTAACAAAGGGTGGAGGCAAATCTCACACAAGTGTGGGGAGAAGACAGCATGGCATCTACACCTTGCAGCTTGGTCTCTGTTTCACTTTTCAGAAGAAAAGAAGAATCAATTTCAAATTCATTTACTTGTCTGTAGAAGACTAAGGGGCTGAACCTCAAGTGATAAGCAATTGAATCAACTGAGCACACACAATATTACTGTATTATAAAAGTATAGAGAGTAAGGTCTCTTCTGAAAACTAGTGACACCCTGGTGGTTAATACATATATTTCACAATATTAACACTATAAAGAAATATGAATATTCATGGATATTAGGCCATACAGTCTGCTCAGACAGGAAGGAATGGCACAACTACCTACCTGTTGTCTCTTATGTAAATTCATCATGGGGAAATCAAACAATGCAAGTCCCAGTCATACAGAAATCATACCGGGACAGAGGAGCACACAGAAAGGGAAGAACGGCATTAAGTCCTCCTGACTCTTGGAATAAGGTCATTAAACTTCGGCAGATAAAAGAAAGAACAGAAGCTAGCTGTGTCATTCATTATTAGACAGGCACAATAGGCCAGAGCTCCTGAAATCTGAGAAAGATGTGTCCTTCCCCCAAGATGGTGAGAGGAGGGAGCTCAAAGTCTCTAGAACTGAATACAAGTCAGAAATGCTCTTAGGCAAAGAATACAAGAGAAGCCAGCAACTTGTACTTTTGTAGAAGATCCTGACTAAGGAGAAAGTCAGTCATGTTTGGGAAGAAAAATGACTAGTGAGAGAAATCAGCTCAAAGTCTGCATCTTGCTATATTTGAGTATTTAGCCCTTTAGAAACAAGTTTAGTTTTACTTGTAACTTTGTATCTTAATTCCTTATTACTGAATTCATTTACTCCTATGTATAATTTTTCATTCAATCCATTTTTACCATAAATGGACTCATTTCCACATTTAAATGGACGTGTTTATTAACCTCAGTTAATAACCTCAGGTGCATTCTTGTGTTTGTAGAGGAACAAATAAATCAGGATTCCTAGCTTTAATTCCAAGTTTTAGAGAGAAGTGTTCTCTGTGGTTAAACACTCTTCTCCTCTTGTCCCTGCCTGTCCCCCTATTTCCTCCTATTCATCACCATCCACCCTGTCTTCGACCCCTTGCCCTTCTGTTCCTACATATTCCTCTCCCACTCCATCTAACGGTTGCTGCTTTCCTCTCCCTTTGTGCTTATTCTTCGACTCCCTTGTTCTGGTCTCAATCTCTCTGAGTACTTGTCCCCCCACTATCGCTCAGGTCCCACCCGCACTTTGAAACCTCCAACCCCATCTCATTGACCCTCATTTCTGAACCCTCTGAGTTCAAACAAGCGGCCTCCTCCTTCCATCCACACTATCTGGGTGACAGAGGAATCACAGAGCACAGGAAAGAGTCTATTATCAATTCCTGTGCCCAACATCACAGTACTCCAAGGGAAGCAAGTGCAAGAAAAGTCTTGCTCAGACCCTTTTTTGTAATTCTGAGTTGGAATGTGTCCATTCATTCTGTGATGATGGAAAACACACACGCTGATCGACATATAGAAGTTGAATGAGAATAGTGCATGCTCTTTAGAAGTAATTTTGCTACCAAGCTATGTAGTCTCCGCATGAACTGAAATTTTTCCAGAGGCTGGTCATCTGCCTAACTTTGAGCAAGTTTTCACAGACTTTACAAAAGGTAGAACCCTGATACTAACGTCACGTGAAACTTCCTGTCAAATTTCAAAGCATAGAGGCCCTAGAGTTTAACTAAATGGATGGTGGGGGAAGGAGTTAGGCTGTTTTACCCATGATCAATCTCCCTGTAATCTAATTCTCAGTAATTGAATGGACATTTTTGTTGAAATCCAATACAAATATTCAGTCTGAGACAAAGAACTAATATAGGAAATTTCCACCCATATTGTTAAAGTTTGATAAAGCCATAAGCAACAAAAAACAGGGTCTTACAATGGAAAATATCAAGCAACCTTAACTATAGATAGTATTACCAGTTCCACATACAATGTATTCTCAAACTAGAATAAAAGAATCCTTTCAAGGAAACTGCATCTATTTTACTAAATCAGTTTCTACATCAAATTTAGAAATTCTCCAGCAGAAGAAAATTCTTATCAATACCTTCACTAATTCCATGAAATTCTGAAGTGACAGACATTTTCCTTTGTAGACCATTTTTAAAAACATTTTGCAAACATCACACAAATTACAGATAAAAATCAAGGATTTAAGATTACACATACTATATTAGGTTGTAAACCAAGATCCAAGAGCTCTATTTAACCTTTCATTTTAAATTTAATACTGTACAGTAAATGAAAAAATATCTAACTTGAGGTTCACATTCCTAGATGCAGAAGACTAATATTTTCTATTACTTGTTAAATTGATTACATACTAAAGCTTTCAAAAAATACAGGAAACACTTACCCAAAATATGCTTGCAAACAGCAAATGGTGATTTTGATTTTCTAAATGATAAGAATATGTGCTCAGCATGCTGGCGTTGTTCACTATTGACCATGGAAGGTGGTGCCTACAAGAAAATATTAGAAATTTTTTAAGATGATAAATATTTGCCTTGGTAAAAAATACAAATAGGAATAAAAATCTGCAAAGGCAAGGTGCTTCTTATTTCACAGTATTCCTTGTGCACCTATACTCCTACAGCAGGCTGTAAAACTCTATGTGCATATTCAAATGGCATGAAGACAATAAATCATTGTAAATGCTTCTACATTGCTAAAATATATTTAAGGTAAGGTAAGGTAAAGTAAATGGAAAGGAACATTCAGAGTGTACTTAATACTTTTTGCAAAGCCCAAATCAAATAATAGCACATGCTCTAGCACAGATAAAACCCATCATCAACACCTAAACATAATGAACTACTGAAATGCAAGTTACCGTAAATCAAGAGAAATGAGATAAATTACAGCTAAATTCACAAAAAACAGTTTTAATAGTAGTACTGAATTCTTCTGGAGGTTTAAATTTAGATTAGAGATTTTGAATGGTATAGTACTCCCAAAAGGTTGAAGAATGTGTAATCTGATTAAGAAAGCAGAGCCATTATTACTGACATGCTGCCCTCTAGTGTTGAATATTAGAGTCAGCATATTGCAAAGAAACTAAGTTATTGCTAAGCACTTACCCTTTATAGCAGGGGTGGGGAACTGCAGGCCGGCGGGCTTTCCTGGATCCGGCCCTCAAGGCTGGGGAGCCCATGCTGGCACCCAGCATCCCCTCTGCAGGGCTGGAGCACACAAAATCTACCAGGCTGGGCTCCCCTAGGTTTTGTTGTGGAAGGGGAATGTGGGAAGTGTCATTCTCCTTCTCAGATGTGGGCCACAGCAGTGAGGGTTTTTTGGGGGCTGGGGGGTTGGCTTCTCACTTGTGTGCAAGCCCTGACCCAAACAAGATTCCCCACTCTGGTTTTACAGCATTATTAAAAACAGCATGATAAAGTTCTTTGCTGTTTACAAGTAATCACATAAGGAAATTCACTGGTACCAAGAGCCTTACTTGGTTCTAACAAATATTAAAGTTATACTAATCAATTCATCTAGGAAGAGAATTTTTTCTATCAGCTATTTCAATTCAAGTTCCTTTAGGATGACATTTTCATGCCTACATTATAAAATTTTCTTGTCATTTTATTACACTTACATTTGTAGCAATGATGAAAACAGCAAAAAGTCCTACTGTATTTTTTCCTTTTTAAAACCTCAATAGAAAAAAAATTAACATAAATACCTTAATTTTGTTACTCCTGCTTGTAACACCTTAAAACTAAATCTGAATCTGCTTAGTATAAATCTATTAGAGCAGGTATCAGTTTTTCAAATTGTAAACTCAAACTCACTTCAACAACTATCCTCTGTAAAAATATCATTCCAGAAATATCCATTACAGTGGAGCAAAAGATCATCTGGAGTTGAGCATCACTTGTTCAAAAGTTGATTATTCTAAGCACTCTAAAAACCTACACATTTAGTCTGCCTTGCATGTGGGTAGGATTAGTGACCAAATTTGGGTCTATATGAGCAAGGGATTTCCAAAATACAACCCCTCCTAAAGTTATATGTTTACAAAATCCGCTGGTTCTCTTTCATTTGCACATCCTATATCTCTGGGTATGTCTACACAGCAAAGTTATTTCGAAATACCAGCCACTGTTTTGAAATAACTTTCCCAGCGTCTATACAGACAAACCGCTATTTCGAAATTAAATTGAAATAGTGGAGGGCTTATTTTGAAATTGGTAAACCTCATTCCACAAGGAATAATGCCAATTTCAAAATTGCTATTTCGAAATAAGTGCTGTGTAGATGCTTATTTCAAAATAGGGGGCCTCCAGTCCTTCCCAGGGTGCCCTGGTGGCCACTCTGGGCACAACCAAGAAAACTCCTCTCCTTTCCCTCCTCCCCGGAGCCCTTAAAGGGGTAGACTCTGACCACCATGCCTGCGCCAGCTCCAAGCCTGCCAGCCCAGAGCCAGCAGTCGCTGCACCTGACCCAGCGGCCCCAGCATGAGCCAGGCAGCCAGTGCCAGCCCTCCACCGCTCCCCAGGAGCAGTCTGCCACTAGCCAGCACTCCCCCGCTCCCCAGGACCAGACTGCCAGCTCCCAGGAGCCTGCCAGGGGCCGGAAAAGGCAAGCGCCTGACTGGTCCAGTGCAGAAATCAGGGACCTAATTCAGGTTTGGGGGGATGCCTCCAACATCCATGATCTCCACAGCAAATGGAGGAACGCAACCATCTACAGGCGGATGACTGCCATCCTGGCCACCACAACTCCCCCGCTCCCCAGGACCAGACTGCCAGCTCCCAGGAGCCTGCCAGGGGCCGGAAAAGGCAAGCGCCTGACTGGTCCAGTGCAGAAATCAGGGACCTAATTCAGGTTTGGGGGGATGCCTCCAACATCCATGATCTCCACAGCAAATGGAGGAACGCAACCATCTACAGGCGGATGACTGCCATCCTGGCCACCACAGGCCACATGCGAACCCAGGAGCAGATTCACATGAAAATCAAGGAGCTGTGGCAGGCGTATGCCTGGGCCATGGGGGCAGCTCCCAACCAGGGGAAGACCCAGACTCCTGCCCTTATTTTGATGCCATGGACCGCATCCTGGGGGACAGGACGGTCCGTGCCCCCAGGTGGTCATCGACCCTGGGGCAGAGCTTGTTGCCTCCTGCTGCTCCAGCCCCTGCTGCCTCCCCGTCTACCACTCCTCCTCCCATTCCTCCCCACACACCCAGGGACACCGAAGCCCTCGCACTCACGGTGCTGGGAGACAGTTGGGCCGGTGAGACCCGCAACCCTGAGCGTCTCCTCCCCCTTCCTCCCCTTGCCAGCTCCTTCCTCCCAGGTTTCCCCCTCCCCTCTCCCACCTTCTTTCTCCAGTCTCACCTCAGTTTCATTCCCGTCCTCCTCAACCCCAGTTTTGTTCAATAAAGAGGCTTTGTTGTAATGAACACATGTCTTTTATTGTACAGCCGGAACGGCGGTTAGGGAGGGGTAAGTGGAAGGACGTGAGGGAGGAATGAGGCACAAGTCCCCAGTGGGGTACACCAGGGAGACTGTTACTGACTGCAGAACGTGCTGCTAGGCTCGCAGCAACACATCCAGGAGAAGCACCAGAGTGCCCAGGGACAGCTCCAGCTCCATGCTGCAGAGTGCTGTGGTATCCTGAGTGACGGCAACCAGAGCATGCAGAGGAAAAAAATGCTTTGCTGTCCCGCAGCAAGGTAGGCAAGCAAGCAGGGAAACCTTAGAACCGTCTGTCTGGGGGAGGAGGGGGATGTCCCTTTAAGCACAGGTCTCAGATAGCCTCAGGCAGCAGCCACACAAGGTAACTCCTGACCTGATACCCTGCCAGAACCAGTTCCGGCCAGCCTTAAATGAGATTCAGCGTCCTATCAGTGTGGACACGTTATTTCGAAATGCATTTTGTGCCTAGACACATTATTTCGAAATAAGCTATTTCACAAATAATATTTCGAAGTAATTCTGGAGTGTAGACATACCCTCTGTTTCTTTACAAACTGAACTCAGCCATTTGAGATTTATCTCAGCTAAAGCATGGCACCCACTACCGCCTTTTTGGGAGAAATAATATTGAAAAAGTTAAGGGTAAAGTTCTTAACTACAGGTTGGCAAAACCTAACTGATGTGTTGTCCCTAAGCACAAGTGCACTTCTGATTGTGCATGCAGTTTAGATCAAAGAATTCATCCTAGCAATGTCCACTTGGTCTGTGCAAGAGCCCTTGCCTTCTCAGTTCCTTCTCCACTAAAATTCCCGAGACTGGGATCTGAGGCACAGGGGAAAGAGGATAAGCAGCACATACCACCACATTTTGAAGAATTCCAGGTACAACAAGTTAAGGACTCTCCTTTAAGTGATTGTCCCTGTTCATAGCACGCTTCAGATAATTCACACAGTGATCTCTATTATGGAGGTGGGTGTCCAGAGCATTCCCCAAGTGCTGATTGAAGGACTGCTTCTCTGCCTAGGGTAACATCAAAGGCAGCTGCCTCTATCATAGCAGAGTGGGCTCTGAAGGCACAAACTGAACCTCACGTCATCTCCTGCAGATGTCAATGTTTAGAACACCCTTGTGGGATGCAGTTTAGGTTGCTTGGATTTTCTTTATATTGGGTGTGCTCTCATGCTGCCCTCTCAATACTTTGTTCGCTTCATAGCAGAGTATTATGCAGCCAAGGATTCATTTTGACCTTTTTGGAGTGGATGTTGCCTCCCTCTTCTTTCCACAAATAAGAAAGCTTTGATTTCCAAAACAGTGTGGTCCTCTCAAGGTAAATGGACAGGGTCTTATATACATCCAAGGTGCATAATCTCACCTCTTCCCTATTGACACATGACAAAACACAGGTGCTCTGAAAGTTCAATACCACCATAGGGAGGAACCTTGAGTGCAACCTCAGATGCCTTGTCCTTGTGGAAGATCAAGGCAAAGATGGGTAAACCAAAACCTAAAATCCAAGAAAATTAGCTACCCAAAAACTTAGTTAAAACAGAGATAAGTTTGCCCAGTAATGCCTTTTGCCTTTGCAAAATGTTGCATTCGTCTACACTCAAACCTCTGAAAACCAGAAAATGAAAGAATACAATAAGGTAAACTTCTAGAAACCAGAAGTACAGAATTAAGATATGTGGGTACCTCTTCTGATAGCGCAGTGACAATTCTACCAACCTACTCCAACTAATCCCATCACCACTCAATAGACCACTACTGGGCAATATACCTCTGCATTAACTGCATTAATTTTTACTCAGTTATAATGTAAAGTGTAATTACATGCATTAATTTCATTAGGTTCTCAAATATGGCCTACTTTAAAGGTTTTTTTTTTTTAAACTACCATAAGGCAGAGAAATTTTAGATCATCCATAACATTATTTTTGTATGTTCTACATCACATCACCATGAGAGGGAGCTTAAAGACAAGTAACCCTAGTATGAAATAGGAATGTAATACTATAGTCGATTAACCGACTGACCGATAAGCA